ACCAAGGGCAACACTCGTAACCTAAACATCTGTACCCCCATAATAGGCTGAAATAAAAGAAAAAGAAAAAAAAGAAGTGTTAGGTATTGAGTATAAGAGCGAGCTTCTATGGCTTGGTTTCCCCAGCCAGGGAACTGCCCTGAGGGGGGAGGAGGGTGCAGTGGACTCAATGTGTCATCCACGTGGGATGGTGAGACCCTCTGCCATTTCTGAAGCACCTGCGTCTATTTCCATTATTTTATGGGTTCCGCCAACACCTAGTGGGGAGGTACAGACTACTTGGCCTTTATAAATGCCCCCTCCCATCTCCTCTACGCCCCCCAAGGTTCTGTATTAAAGCACAGGCTTTTGGTGTGCTCAAGCTGTGCAGCGCAGGGCACCTCACCTCGTGTGTGGTTTCTCCCAGGAGCAGGCACGGTGATAATGGGGTCTCGGAGCAAGAGTGAAAGCTCTGCTCTGTTCACTGTTGCCCCACCCCGAGAAGTCATTCCAACCACACTGGATTAAACACCTCAGCCAGAATACCAGAAGCAAATTTCAGGAGAGATTTGCATGTCCCATTTCCACTGGGCTGAGAGAGCAGCCAGGCAGGAGGGGCTGCGCGCTGTAGGGAACCAGCCGGGTCCAAAGCCTCTTGGAAGAAATCGGTTTTTGAGAAAGTTCCTGTTGGTGCAAAGTTACTCCACACTTTGTCTTGCACAGCCCAGAGCTCCTTCCTCATTCTCTAGCCAGGACGTCTTTAAAGACAATCCATCCCTTTTGGGTAAAGGTAAAAGAGAAACCTTAGAGGAAGTACTTGCTGAGAAGACAAGGCAATCCCATTTTGCTGGGGGAAATGTTACAATCCTTGTCCTTGACAACAGTAACAATAATAACAAAAAAGGCAATTTCCATGCAACCAATTCAGTCATTTCCGTGTCACTGACAGGCCAACACCCCTCTTTCCCCCATGCACAATTCTTTCAAATAATGGACAGGACTGATTTTTTTCCCTCAGTAAACTGAGTTACAAATCTCCGATTATTCTCATCAGAATTCTGCATAGTGATTAAGGTCAAGACTGGGAATCGTCAATGGAAAAGAAGCCAAACTCTGTAAAATAATTTTAAAGAGATTTATTCTGAGCCAAACTTGAGGACCATGACCCAGAGCCACGCCCAAGAAGCCTTGAGCAAGTGGACTCGCTGTGGCTGGGTCACGGTTTGGTTTTATACATTTCAGGGAGACAGGGGTTACAGGTAAAGTCATAAATCAATACATGGGAGGCATACATTGGTTTGGCCCGAAAATTCTTCAAGTGGGGACTTACAGGTTATGGGTGGGTTTAAAGATTTCTTTGACTTGTAAGTGGTTAAAGACATGAAGTCTTGTCTAAAGGCTTGGAAGGTTTCAAAATAAGGAGCTGTTTATCAGAGACAAGCCACCGGACATATTTGTTGCATAAAATGAGGACCTGCAGGTGTGTCTTGCATACCCTCAGGCCTATTAATGGGTTACAAAGGATGTCTCCAAGAAGCGAGGGGACATGGGGATGAGACGTGTCTGACGTCTCTCCACTAATCCCTCCACTAATTGCCTGGCAGGCAGTTTAGTTTTAGGATATCCCCTTGGCCAAGAGGGGGTCCATTCAGTCAGCCGGAGGGGGGTGAGCCTTAAGATTTTATTTTAGTTCACAGAATCGAGTCCTTCGCAGATCATACGCCAAGTAGCCTCATTTCCAGAGGCTAACTCAACTCTAGGCAAATTTGACAAATTCAATTGTTTCTTTGACTCTGTAAATTTGAAGTAATTCAGGTTGGATGTGATGACTTTAACAATCTGAAGATTTCTGGGAAAGCCCAGTTGGCCCATTTCGTTCCATAATGGCACTGTAAAGAAAGCTAAGGGCAGTAGGGTGATGGCTCTTGAATATATTCTAAGTGGAAACAAGTCTTGTACAATATATGCTCCTAAAATACAGTCAGTGGATATTCTTCATATAGTTATGAAGAATAAATTCTAGCATACCTCCTTCTCGGGAATGAGACTATATTAGTGGAGAATAAACCTTTCTTCCTTATGACCCTCCATCTCTCTGTCTCCTAGTGTTCTCTGTGTCCCATCTCTTCCCGACATTCTGCCCCCTCTTCCCCCTCTCCCCGCAGAGCCCCCCATTTCTACTCTCTGCCCAAAGCTCGCCCCCTCCCTTCTTTTCTGTTCCGATTTCTCCTTCCCGCTCTGTCTTCCAGCCGCCCCCAGGGTCCCCTTCTCTGCTCCCTCAATCCCCATCCCTCTGCCCCACGTTTTCCATCTTTCTGCCCCTTGGTCCCTCTAACCACTTCCCTCTTTCTCCCTCAAATGAAAACTGACCAACTAACACTTTGCTGAAATATTCAAAAGCTTTACAAGTATGTATCCAAGAAGAGTTGAAAGCAACAAGTGAAATGAGCCAGCTGGCCCTTGGTGAAATGAGGCAGGCAGATTGCATGTTTCCCTGTCTCTCTCCAGCGTCTCAACTGCCTCATGAGCCACCTTTGTCCCCAGGACGCTGTGTCCAGCCTTCCTCCTCCCCGACGTGTTCCCCGTGGCAGGGACCTTGCTCTCACAGTTCCCCTCGCCTGAAACGCCCTACCCATGCCCCTCTCCGCACTCACCTCGGAAATCTGACCCGCTCCCAACAGCTGCCTCAAATACCATCTCTGCTAAGAAGCTTTTCCATGTCCTTCCCTGCCACTCCACATTACGCCCTGCGCTCCATCAGGGGCACGAACCAGGGCTCAAAGCTGGGTCTTCTGGCTCCTAGTTCAGGCCTTTTCCCAAGACATGGCCACGGAGAACGGTGGGAGGAACCCAGGCATGACTTCTAATCATGGGGCCACACGTTGCTCACTAGCACAGAAGCTGCCTGACCTCTCTGGGCCTCAGTTCCCATCTGTAAAATGGGAGAATCATGCAGCCATTCACATGTACAGTGCTCACTGAGGGCCTGCTGTGAGCCATCCACTGTTTTTATAACCATTCTGCCCACCGTGCGGAATTCAGTGTGTCACATGAGAATTTAGTGTGTCACAGCAAACAGGTAACAAACACAGCATCAGTCCAGCCTCCCTGGCCCACAAAGAGGAGGGAGGAAGGTCCGCAGCTCGAAGTTCCACATACCTTCCTAAGACCTTATTTCGCTCTTTGACACATGTGGCCCTGATCTCCCTGGAGGGAGGCCTGTCTCCATCCTCTGTGACTCTTCTAGTAGTTGTTCCCTGGGATGCCAGAGCCACAGCCACCAGGCTTTGTCCCTAAGACTTCCTGAACTGGGTCCAAGGCTAACCCCCTAGGCCCTTTGTTCACCACGGGTCACACGCAGCCCTTCGGGAGGGCAGCAAAGCCCCTAGGCTGGCCAGGGACAAGCCGGACTGCAGGCCTGTCCTGCTGCCCTTGAGGAAGACCCCCCCTCAGGTGCCACGCTGAGTCCCCGGAAATCTCCCATCCAAGTACTAACCAGGCCCGACCCTGCTTAGCTTCCGAGATCAGACCATCAGACGCGTTCAGGGTGGTGTGGCCATAGGCAGAGTCCCTGGAAATCTATCTAGTGATGTCCCTGCAGGTGAAACTCCAGGGCTCTCCACCAGGGTGCCGGCAGGCATGGGTCGGAAGTCCTGGGGTGCCCCATTCTCCTGTGACTGTACCTCAGGTGTGCTGAAGGGTCACCCCTCTGTCCCCTCCCTCAGAGAAGCTGCTCAGTCTCTTCCTTGTGGGTCACCACCCCCAGCTGGACATCCGGCCCTCCGCCTGGGACTCACCTGTCCTGGAGCACCTCCTTGGCCCCATCTCCCGTCCCTTTTATTCCAAGATGCTGGCTCCTCCCTCCTGTGAGAGTGTCCCCCTCAGGTCCTGGTGGTACCTGTTACTTTAGAATGAGCGTCCTCTCTCTGCACTCACCCCAGCCTCCCTGGCATCTCCAGCCCCTCAGAGCCACAGGAGAGCCACTTCCCCTGCAGCGCCCTGCTCAGGCCAGCCTGGGCCTCCAGCAGCCGCCCCAGGTCCTCACCACCTGCCAACTTCTCTCTGCTCTGCCTGCTCCACCAGCGCCCCAGTGCCCCACCCCGTTCTCTCCCCGTCCTCACAGCCCCATCCCCACTCTTACAGGAATTTTCTTTGGGCTTTTAGCCGAGGGGGTTGAGGTCACAGGTTCAGTTTCTTCCTCCTCTGTTACTCCAGCCACTCAGTTTGGAATGTGTGGCTACAAACGGGCCACAGTGCAAGGGGCCCACGCTAGCTCACGGCTGCTCGGGACAGTGCAGGGCCTGGTGCCCTGAGACCCCTGCAGCCCGGAGGGAGGACCAGTGGTTCTGATGCACACAGCAGCTGCCAGTCTGTCCCCTGGAGAAAGGAGGCGCCAAGGCGTGGTACCACTTAGATTTCTCAATGGAGAAAGCTAGGCATTGTCTCCTCTTGATGGGTAAAGCAGCCGCCTCAGAGAATGAGGCAGTTTGCCCAGGCCGCACAGCCAGTCGCCTTGCAGCTAGTATGTGAATTCAGAGCTCCAGACACCAGGGCTCACCTCGCTCTCTGCCCTTCACTGCCCTCTGCCCACTCCTCGGTGACACCAGGAATCTCTGTCTTGTCCCATGACCTGAGGCTGAGGCCTCTGCAGATCCCCATGGTGTGCAGGGCCTGGCATGGGGCAGACCTGTGGGCATCCAGTCCTGGGCCACTCAGTCCCATTCTGCTCCTCCAGACATGCCCACACCCCTTAGATGCTGGGCCTCTTGTCCCATCAGAACCTGCCTTCCCTGGCCCGTGATGCCCCCGCGCAGAGCTCTCCTTCTCTCCCCATCCCTAGAAGCCACCCAACAAGAGCTGCATCCTTCCTTGTCCCTTCCCTCCTCCCAGATCATTTCTCCCAGTGCCTCACGGGGCTCCTTTGCACCCCAGGACCTGCTGGCTTCTCCCCAGGGGTCACCACCCTGCAGTAAGGACAGAGCCCCTGCCTGAGGTCTTACAGGCCCCGGGGTCAGTGCTCCATCTGTGTGGCCTTGCCTGTGGCCCTGCTTTCCCACAGGACAAGCCTCGGGACAGGGGACTTCTTCTTAGAGGTGGCCAGGCAAGGCCGGCACCATCCCTGCAGGAGAAGCTTTCTGGCGGGGCAGAGGCTCGTGCACACACGGAAAGACCTGGGACGTGTCATCCCAGCACACAGGCCTGGCTCCTCTATCCTCAGAAACTGTTCCTAACTGCAGACTCAGGCCCAGACCATGGGCACAGGGAGGAAGCTTCCGCTTTCTGACCACAGGCATCCGGCCTTGGCAGCAGCTGCCACACGCACACTGCTCGTGGCGCTCAGAGCTGAGAGGTTTGCTGAAAACACCCCACTTCTCATTCCTCTTAGGAAGTCCTCCTGGTGGCATGGAAGGCGGGGGCTGGAAGCAGGGATACGTGGGGTCACAGGCAGGGTGGACACCCCATGCCCTCCATCTGCTTCAAAGTCACACTGACAATTCTAGGTTCTTCTGCCACAGGAAAGTTCAAGGATTGGTGAAGTCTGCCTTAGAGGGCGTCGAGCCCAGGGCTTTCCAAACCTTCTGGTCATCCGAACGCCTGATGCAATCCTGAGCCCCTCGCGCCTCCTTCCCTCTGCCACTGATGGCTGCAGAGACGCAGACCTCCTAGAAGCCATGGCTGCTGCTGCTGGGCCCACCCATGTCCCGCAGACAGGGGCCTGGCACCGGGGGACCCGAGCAGCTCCATCCCAGGGGCCCGGGTGGCAGCGTAGCACACAGCCTTGAGTGGCACCTCTAGCCCCGAGGCCAGCCTCAGCCCACCGCCAGGGATGCCGCGGGTACCACAGGGAGCCCTTGGTCTGAGTGTTCTCACCATCGCCACGTGGCTGTGCACTGCAGGTGTCCCCGAAGTCCTTGAATCTGTGCGACTCCCCTTGTGTCTGAGCATCCCCGTTTTCGCTCACTGAGAACTAGAGTGAGGTGAAGTGGCCCGGAATGAGACTCCGGCTCTGCCCGTTGGTAGCTGGTGTGGACTTAGCCCCACTGTCCTCGTCGGTGGAACAGGTCACAACTCCCCCGCCTCCCAAAGTTGCCGTGGGGACCCGAGGTCATGTCAGCAAGCACTTTGCCAGGTGGAAAGGCCGCCTGTGTGAGGGCCGGCTTGACTCCTTGCCCGGCAGGGTTGGCCCGGGGAGCAGGGGTGCTGAGGAGGGCCCTGGCCGAGCATGGCCTGGCGGGCGCTGGCAGGAGCCCGGGCGTCTCCCCGGCTCCCGCCACCGTGGCGTGCAGGCGGCAGCCGGTCCCCTCCGCGCCGCGCTGTCCTGGCTCCCCAGAGTCCATCTCCGAGAGGGCAGGGCTTGTCCGTCTGTGTCGCCCAGGGCACAGCACTGACCCTAGTCAAGCGCAGGGCTTTGGTAAGTGTCTCGGCGGCATGAACTAAGGCGCTCCTTTAAGGTGCTCTCTAGGAATCTTGGCTACGTGAACCGTAGGGAAGGCAAAACTCTGCCTCTTCCCGTTTCGGCTGGGCCTGAGAATTAAGTTGGCATAAGACAGAATAATGGAAGGAAAGCATGCACATTTATTTTAGAACACAAGTTTTGCGTGGCACAGAAACGCTTGTAAGCAAATGAAGACCCCAAGAAGCAGTTGGGGTCAGTCCTTCGCATACTGAATTGGACAAAGAGCAGTAAGTGGTGACACGTGACCAGGCCAAGGGGCTTGGGCTCAGCAGGTAATTGGGAGGAGAAGTGACCGGGAAGACAACGGTTTGTGTAACAGGGTCTGTTTTTGTGGATTTCCTTTGGCCTCAACTTGCCCACCTTGACGAAAAGAACGCCACTTTCCTTTTGGTCCGGGGAGGACATCTTTCACTGGGACCTCCACCTTCCGCTTTTCAGAAACAGCACAAAGGTCAGAGTGATCTTGCGCCTGCTGCCTTTTCAGTGCCTTTCGCTGCAAACGGTCATTCTGCCAGAGCGGCGCATTTCGGGGGGGCAGGTCGTAGAGACCACAGACGGTCTGACCTGCCTGCCCCTCTCCTCAGGTCGATTCGTACGACGTGACGGTGGATGAAGAGCTGGGCGAGATCCAGCTCGTGCGAATCGAGAAGCGCAAGTACTGGCTCCACGACGACTGGTACCTGAAGTACGTCACGCTGAAGACGCCCTCCGGCGACTACATCGAGTTCCCCTGCTACCGCTGGATCGCGGGCGAGGGCGAGATCGTCCTGAGGGACGGACGCGGTGAGCAGCTCAGGACCCTCCATCCCCAGGCCTCCCGGGAAGCGAAAGTTCTTCCCCTCCCCAAGGGGCTGCATCCGTGGTGGTGATGACACTGCCGTCCCGGGGGGGCACCTACTCTGGGCTCCATGTACCTGTAGGAGGTGTGAGCTTCCTCAGCTACTAGCGAACTCGGCGCAGTGAGTGTCCCCAGGCCACACAGCCAGCTGTGTCCTCCCTATAGTTCTACAGGGGACGGTTAAGCTACAGGTAACCAGTAGCATAAGCCTGTGGGACATACCCCTGCGTGGCAGCTCTCCACTTGCCAGGTTCACGGGCTTCCCTCCGTGAGACCACAGTAGGGCTCAGGTGGGGTCAGGGTGCTCCGCACAGGCCTGGAGGGGGAAGGGGTGGACCAGGAGCACCCCATGTGCCGGCTCCAAGGGGCCATGGGCAGGCTTGGCGTTCACGGTCACCACTTCTTAAACCTGATGTCTCACTTTTTGCTGAAAGAGAAAAGAACCTAAAATCTGTCTCCCTCGGTACAAACCCCAAAGGTACAGACCCCAGTCTGGCACTTCCATGGGAGACCATTCTTCGTAAGGGACACACAGCTGGCCTGGTACAGAGAATCAGAGACAGAAACAGACGTCAGAGGCCAGCCAGACCACTCTGTCCCTGAACAACCCCCTTGCACACCAGCTTCCCAGTGTGCCCGCGTCAAATTCATGCCTGGGCAAAAGCCTGCCTTAGTTCAAGGCCCTTTGGCTTGCTCCCAGTCTACTAAACCTGGAATGAGAAACCCTCAAACGCCAAGCAGCCACTAACAGTGAGAGAAGGACAGCTGCTGCCACCCTGACGGAGCAATCCCCAGCACTAGCTGGGTTGTTCCTCACAGAGGTTTGGTGGGGCGGGTGAGATGAGAATGACTATTAGTGCTATTTCATAGCTAAGAAAACTGAAACAAATGAGAAAAAGAGTTCTCTACCTGGTGTTGCTAAGCTATCAGGCCACATCCCATTGCTTCTGAAACGGAACTTGTATCTCTGCACCGAATGATTAGGGCAAAGAGAACTTTTGTCCCCTATCTCAGTGCAGGAAAAACATCACAAAATTCCTTCTGTCTTGTGGTTGCCAGAACGTGGAAGGTTGCGGGCAGGCTGTTTTCCAGTATTTGGAAAACACTGGCTCCAGATCTCCCTGCTGCCCACCCACCTAAGGTCTCAGTTGTGACGTCCTTCTTCCCTCAGACCCTTCAGCTCTTCCCAGCAAAAGACTGAGGATGGTGCACGCAGGTTAGGATGACTCAGGAGAGTTTAAGGAAGGGACTTCATAGAGCTGTGGGCCCCTGTGCGCTGCCAGCCTGCTGGAGAGGGGAGGGAAAGAGTGCCAGAATAACCCAGAAGGGGGATGTCCTGGAGACCACTCCCTTGGAGGAGCTGTGGCCCCTCCTGCTCTCCCCATGCCCTCTTCTCTGGTCAGGGTTCCCAGTGACTGCACCCAGGGGAAGCCCATTGATGAAGTCTATTCCCATCACCTTCAGGGACTGGACAGGGTGGACAGTGGGCAGAGAAGCTGTCTAGCAACCTCCACTATCTATTATTGTGTAACCAAACATCTTGGTGGCTTTAAACAGCCATTTAATTTTGCTCATGATTTTGCAGATCAGGAACTTGGGAAAGGCTCCACTGGGCGGTTCATCTGTGGCCCACGTGGTATCAGCTGAGGGGGCTGGGGCTAAGGATGTTCTTCTCTCATGTGCTTGGCACCTCAGGGCTCCTTGGCCTCTCTCTCCACCTGGCAGCTCATAGTTTAAGGCTTCTCACAGCATGGTGGCCTCGGGATACAGCACTTCTTACATGATGGCTGGCTTCCAGGAGTGAGCATTCCAAGAGACATAAAGAGGAAGCTGCTAGTCTCTTCAGGCCTGGGCCTGGAAACCAGCATAGTGTAACTTCCACCATATTCTACTGGTCTAAGCAGTCACAGAGCTCACCCAGACTCCAGGCGAGGGGATGTAAACCCACTTCTCAATGGAAGGAATGTCAAAGGATTTGTGGCTATTATTAATCCACCACATGGACAACCTGGAAATGAGCAGGCCCAGCCCACAAGCCATTCAGTGACTAGCCACATGATAACCTCTTAAATACTTCACTACTGTACTTCAGGTGAACGTAAAAGTCAGAGGGCTGTCACTGTGGCCCCAGGGATTCAGAGCATCTATGTGACCGGACAGCTTCATTAAGGCACTTGTATCAGTCCTGGGAAACCTTCCCCTGAACCCTTCTGCAGTCAGTCCAGGCCTTCTCGTCCTGCCATGCTCCTGGAATTTCTATCAGTCACTGAGTAGAGGCTTCTAACACCCTCGGGGCAAGGAGAAACGAGCCATTCTCTTTCTGAAACTTGGCATGTTACAATTCTGCATGTTTTGACCTATGCGTACCAGTGAAGCTGAAGAGATTCAACTCCTCAGAGCCGAGGGGCCCAAGAGATAGGCTGGTTCTTTGAGGTGGATTAGAGATGTTGAATGCTGAGTGCCTACAGCCATGCCTCCTAAAGCCAATAGTAGTGCTTATACTCACCATTAATACTCCTCTTGCCTCCGCTACTGGCTGGCTTTACGTACCCAGGGGACAATGCGGAAGGTCCCATTGGTCTCCTGTTTGGGCCTCAGCTGCAAGTTTGGGACTGGAGCAGCCTCAGCCTGGAGGTGCTATGGGCCAGTGAGCTCAGAGTGTGGTGTGAGAACTGTTGGGTCCAGATCTGCAAGGTCAGCACAGAGATTGAGAGCAGGTATTTTAGAAACTTTTATAGCAACTTGACGGAATAATTTTATGACTGTTGCATCTAATGATAAAAAACATGGCTTGCATTTTGAATGTCTTTGATTTGGTTTTTCATTCTATTGTTCTGATAATTACTTTTTGTTGTGTTTTACAAAAATATCAATCTGTGTTGGAATGGAAGTTTTAAAAACCTGGTGCTTCACCAGAGAGCTGGAGAAACACTATTTATGGCCCCTTTTTAGGAGATCTGGGCTCTTCCTACTCAGGGCTCCA